CTGCCTACCTCTCCCCTGGATGCTGGCAAACCACAGCCCCTGGACCAAATCCGGTGCATCACCTGTTTCCATAGCAGCCCAGGAACTAAGCATGGTTTTCACATTTTTAAATGGCTAAAGGAAAAAGCAAAAAAGATGACTCTGCCAGACTATATGGTACTCAAAGCTAAAAATATTTACTGTCTGGTCCATTCACAAAAGTTTGCTGGTGTTGGGCAGAGCACTTCCCTCCTCCTGTTTCTACCTCAGGACCACCAGGTTTCTACCCCAGAGCCCTCCTTTTGGGTTGTTCCATTGCCCAAGTGGCACTTCCGGGGTCACAGGTTCCCTCCTCAAGGCCTAATCCCTCACCCTCTCACCTGAACTCAGTCACTCCCCACCCAAGCCAACCCTATCAGATCAACCACTGTTTACTCCATTCTTCCGGTCACATATACCCCCCCAACCCCCACCCCTCTGCTGGTCTTAAGCTGGTCACATCTCTGGTTTCAGTGATGGCGCAGGGAGGACTGGCACTTACATCCTGGTTGACATGGTACTAAACCGCATGGCCAAAGGTAAGACCTTCCCTGAGGGACCAACACACACAGCCCCGAGGGCCAGGAGAGCTCTTGGAAGGGTCCCCTGTGCAGCTTTCTGCACCCCACCCCCAGGAGTGAAGGAGTTTGACATTGCTGCCACCCTGGAGCACATCCGTGACCAGCGGCCCGGCCTGGTCCGCTCCAAGGTGAGTGTCCTCCCTGCCCCATGCCCAGCACCCACTTCTCAGCCACCCTGGGGAGACCACCAGCAGCCTGTTTTCTTCAGTCTGTGACTTCAGTGCCCCGCAGGGGACTCCCGATCTTCCCTGGGAACTTTCTCAGCCCCCCACCTCTCCTAGGCCCTGCTTGGGGCCAGAGCAGAGGCCCACCTTCCCCTGACTCTCCTTTGCCTGAACTTCCCCAGGACCAGTTTGAATTTGCTCTGACTGCAGTGGCAGAGGAGGTGAATGCCATCCTCAAGGCCCTGCCCCAGTGAGCCCCATGTGGGCAGCCCAGCCTCCACCCTCTGTGCCGTGTGACCATCTGTGCACCCACTCTAACATCCCGCCTGCGACCTTGGTTCTCCTGGGCATGGCCAGCCCTTCCAGGAGGCGTGTATAAGGACTGGAGCCGAGAGCAGCACCTTGTGGGGAAGGTGGCAGCTTGCCAGGGGAGAGCAAGGCGGTGGGCAGCAATTCTCACAGAGCCTTTCCTGCCTAACGGCCCTGGCCACCAACTTCCATGCTCCCAGAAACACCCAGCAGGAGTCTGTGGGTACTCCCTCCTACCCAATCCAGGGGGCAGGGCGCCCCAGACATCAGCTCTAGGCTTCCCCACCCCATGAGTTCTTGCCTGCCTCCACCCGCAGGGCCCCTCCCACTGCCTTCCTGCCCCAGGCCTCTCAACCTTTCCCTCTCTGGCACTAGAGAACATTTCTAGAAACATCTACTTTTGTATCAATGTGAATAAAGTTAGTGTGTTGTCTGTGCAGCTGCAACCCTAACTCCTACACATTTCTGTCTGGTTTGCTGCCAGACTCCAGCCCCAGCCATCAGGAGCCAGGCTGTGGAGTTAGGCTTTCCCAGGATTCAATGGTATAAAGGAGCTTCCTCTATGGTGGTGGTTATCTTCCTATGTAGCAGTCTCCAAAGTGCTTGCCATTTGTAACTTGCATCATCTGCACAACGCTACCAGATAAATCTAGTATTACTGTCCTCATTTTACAGATGAAGTAACAGTGGTACAGAAACCATAAGCAACTTGGCCACAGTAGCATGACTTGTAAGTGGTGGCGCTAGGATTCAAACCCAAGCACGCATCACATTTTCATTGGACTGCCTCTTCATTCTTGGGCAGCTGCTGCATGCCCTTTAAACCCAAACCCAAGTGACTTCAGATGTGTAGCAACCCTGTCTAGGGTTTCTGAGACTGTCAGTCTTTACAAGCAGCCAGCCTCATCTTTCTCTGAGAAGCAGCTGGTATGTTTGAAACCCCAACCTTATAATTAGCAGCCCTTGTTGTGTGCCATCGAGTCAGTTCCAATTCATAATGACCCTGTATAAGGTTTCTAGGAGGGACTGGTGGGTTTGAATTGCTGACCTTGTGGCTACTGGTCCAGTGCTCTGCTGAAACTCAACTCCCAACTGTTTGTTCTTAAAGGCCAGAAGTGGGAAAAACATCCATTCTACAAACTTCTAGCAGATTCTCTTTCTAGAAATGGAGGCATGAAAGGTGTGAATTCCTCTTTCAGAACAGTCTATTTCTTTGTTTTGAGAAAAATGGGGATCCACACCACCCCATTGTCTGTGCAGAGGTGCTTTGTGTGTCACGGGAAAGGCATCCCCCCTCCCCTGCCCCCACACACACACAGGTTATCTGGAGATAGGAGGACTACCTAGTTTTTTCCTCCCTGAACCTGATGAGCTGGTTGGGACTAACTTGGGCCACTACCAGTGGGAAGGCAGGCCTCTGAAACTCAAAGAAACCTATGGAGGGGCTCAGTCTATGGATCTTAAAACCCAAACCCAACTCTGCCATCCAGTCGATTCACTCACAGTGACCCTAATGGACATAGAAGAACTGCCCCATAGTGTTTCCAAGGCTGTAATCTTTATGAAGTCCTGGGGTGATGCTATTGGTTAATGCACTGAACTGCAAGGTCAATTTGAACTGCAAGGCCAGCAGTTCAGACTCACCAGTTGCTCCTTGGCAACCCTCTACAGGGTCACTATGAGTCAGAACCTACTCAACAGCACTTAACAACAACAATCTTTATACAAGCAGGCTGCCCTATCTTCCCGCTGAGCGACTGGTGGATTTGAACTGTCAACCTTTTGGTTAGCAGCCGAGCACTTAACCACTATGCCACCAGGGGTCCTTCTATGAACCACCCCCACTCCACCCCACCCCTGTATAGGAAGAACAGAAGCCTAGGAAAAGCCTTCGGTCTATAAAGCCCCAGGAGGTGAGGGAAGAAAAATGGAAGCATTTTCTCAAGGCTCTGCACTTTACCTGGTTGGGGAGGGGAGGGGAGGGGAAGAGACCTGCAGTCCACTGGGAAGGGCTACCCCTGTACCTCTGTAGCTATCTGGCCAGTCGGCAGAGGGCTGAGGCCTGAAATGATGGCCCTCCAGGTCACCCAGGGCACAGGAGGAAAACAGCGCAGCGTGTGTTCTCATAACTCAGCTTTATTGATTTCCAGTGTCTCCCCCTCGGTCTGCGCTCAGCCCAGGCTTCCATAGGTCTCTGAGGCTAAATGTTACTGGAGCTGGTGACACCGGCTCCACTGCTCCCCTCCCTGGGCCCTGGGCCCCCTAGGTGGAGGGGAGGAGAGGCGGCTCGTCTGTGGTGTTGGAGAGAAAGAATGGGCAGCAGGGTCAGAAGCCAGAGAAAGCCAGACAAGCAGCAACATGCCCGCAGATCCCGTCACAAACCCCGCCCAGCCCTGCACACAGCCTCAGCGGGGGCGGCCATCCTACATACACACAGCTCTGCCAACCCTCGCCCGACCTGTTCCTCAGAACCCCAATTGTTCCCGGGAGAGGAGATCCAGATGTTTGGTGGCTTAGACTTGTATACTTTAACCCTGGGATTAGCAAGAAGTGTCAGGGGGACCGAAACCCCTACATCCAAAGCACCTGACAAAATTGCTCCCCTCGCTCACTCTCACAGCCAAGGACTGGCCAACCTGGGCCAGAACTACATATCCCAAGATGCACTGCTCCACAATAGGTTCCACTTCCTCTGCAAACCTATCCACAGCCGTCCAGAAGATTCTACTCAGCGTGACCATATAGGATAGAGTAGAACTGTCCATAGGGTTTCCAAGGTTATCAATCTTTGTAGAAACAGACTACCATATCTTTCTGTCAGCTGCTGGTGGGTTCCAACCACCAACCTTTAGGTTAGCAGCCAAACCCTTTAACCACTGCGCCATCAAGGTCTCCTCTGCTTTCGCCAAGCATGGTCTATCAAAAGTTAAGGCAAGGTGAGTTGCATTCAGGGACTCTCAGTCCCTAAGAGACAGCACCAGACACCCAGAAAGAATTTACAGGCTAAGACTACTGACAGACAGCCTCCCACTCAGCCCCACCCACCACCCAGACCCGGATTCTGCACTCTGGGGAGGGTGAGGGAGTGGAATGAGGGTCCCCAACCCGCGCATGGGGGCGGGGGAGTGCTGTCTCGTGGAATTGTGCAGCAACTCTGGATCCTGGACATCCAGCTCAGAACACATCTGGGGAGAGAGCAGGGGACGGGTGATAGGAGAGAGGGTCAGCAGCAAGCCGTGGAGGTGGAGCCCAGTGAGCATGCAGACTTGTGCTAGTCCTGTGGCCATTCCCTGAACCCTGGGTTGGGGAGTTATCTGAATTAATAGTCCCCTCCCCTCCTAGCCCCTTCCCCCCCCTCCCCACCTCACCTGGGGCCTATCCCACCTCTCTGGGGTCAGCCAGCCTCACCTCTGCCTAGTCCCAGGGCTGGGAGCAGGTGCAGGCTGTGAGAGGAAGGTAGGAGGAGTGGACTCCAGTTCCAAATCTGGATGGCCACAAGGTTCCCGCCCCACCCAGCTAGCCTGCCCCAGAAGACCTCATGGCCCTTCTAGCCACACTGAGCCCTTCAGTGGGAGGATGAGGATATCCCAGCCAGAAGACAGTGAAAGCAAGTGATGGAGCTGACAGGGAACTGGAGACAAGAGTGAGAAGCAGCAGTAGCACCCAAAGGGAAGCAAGAGAACCAGTCAGCGCTCAGCACTGCACAGGGGGTGTCGCCCCTCAGCTGACAATGACCCCCCCGCAGAGCTGCCACCTCCAGCTCAGAGAACCCAGGCCAAGTCGTCCTTCCTCGACCTCTGTCAGCAGCAAGGGCAGCTGGGGACCTGGTCACCAGAGGCCCAACCCAAAACACAAATGCCCCTCAGAAGCTCCCCATCCAATAAGTGCATCCTGGGTCTCAGGCCCTTCCCTGCCTGAGACACCCACCTGGGCTTCACCCAGGGATCTACTAGCCCTGGGCTGAGCACAGAATCCTGAGTCCACACTGGTGTGAGGGTGGGCTTGGGAGGGAAACTGAGGGCGGGAACCTGGGGTTGGCAAAGGGCTCCTGCATCTCAGGCCACACCCCTCTCTGCTCCATGACAGGGAGGAATGGAGCCCCAGTCAAGACTGGGACCAGTTCAGGTTGGGCCTGGGGCTCAGAGGATGAGGCAGCGTGAAGCTTTATCCTCCTGGGCTGGGCTGGGCCTGGCTGCCTCACCCCCCGCACCCTCATGGGTCCCCCCCAGGCCTGGATCTTGGTGCTGGGCCTTGGGCCGCCCCTGCCGTTGTCGCTGTGCCCCCCGCCCACCTGCTGGTTTCTTCTCAGCAGCTTCCATCTCTGACAGGCTGTATGCCATGGCAAGCTGTAGGTCCTCGTCATCCTCAGAGAAGTCTCTGTCAGAGGGGTGTGAGACGGGGGTCTGCCGGACCTGCATGCCCCCAGACCTGGAGGTGACCGACTGTTGCTGCTCACGACGGCTCAGCTCCAAGCCCAGTGCCAGGTCGTCTGGGACACCTGCAGAAGGCACGGCCGCTGTGAGAGCCCCTGAGCCAGACTCTGCCTCACACAGTAAGAATCTAGCCACTTACAGCCCACCTTCCAAACTGGCACACAGGCAGTTCAAGGTAGCAGTTATGATCATGGGCAGGTAATCAGCTCTGCCCAGTACAAGCTCATCTTCTGGGCAAGTTACTCAGCTCCCTAATAGGAATAGTGATTTTTAAAAAAATGTTACAGTCAAATGGATTCAACTCACAGTGACCCCATTGTTACAAAGTAGAACTATTCCATAGGATTTTCTTTATGGAGGTCTTCTCTGATTGATACAAACAGTTAAGCACTAGACTACTAGCCAAAAGGTTGGTGGTTCAAATATACCCAGTGGCACCTCAGAAGAGAGACCTGGTGATCTGATCTGCATCCAAAAGTTTATACCCCTGAAAACCTTATGGAATTTTTTTACTTACACCCATGGGGTCACCATGAATCAGAACTGACTTGAAGGCAATCAACAACAACTGTTACGGAAGTATATCATCAGTGGGTGGTTTTGAACCACTAACCTTTACTAAACCAAACACACTGTTATCCAGTCAATTCCAACTCAGCATTTCCAAGACTGTAAATCTTTACAGGATCAGACAGCCTTATCTTTCTCTCAAGGAGCGGCTGGTGGGTTTGATCCACTGATCTTGGGATTAGCAGTCCAGTGCTTATCCTACAGTGCCACCAGGGCTCCTTTGGGAATGATGATAATGTTTGAATTGTTTTGTTGCTATTGTTAAGTACTGTTGTATTGGCCCTGTATAGAGTTTTCTAAGGAGTAGATGGCAGATTTGAACTGCCAACCTTGTAGTTAGCAGTCCAGTGTTTATCCTATAGTGCCACAGTAGAACTTCAGAAATGATCATTTTGTTATTGTTAAAGTGCAATCAAGTTGGTTTTGACTCATGGCAATTCTGTATAGGGTTTCCAAGGAATGGCTGGTGAGTTTGAGCCACCAACCTTATGCCTAGACAATCAAATCATAGACCCAATACCACTGAGTAGATTCCGACTTATTGTGGGCCTGTATAGGGCTTTCAAGGCTGTAAATCTTTATAGGAGCAAAAAGCCTCATCTTTCTCCAGAGGAGCAGCTGGTGGGCTTGAACTGCCAACCTTGCCTACCCTACAGTGTCCCCAAGGCATTAAAAGGATAAACTAGAAGAATCCATGTAAAGTACTTAGTACAGTGCTCTCCCAGCCAGCAGGCATGAAAGGGGATCTGTGAAGGCAATCCTGTACAGTGAGGTGTCTTGAGAAGAGTTTACCTCAGAATCATGTGTCCTGTGTTAGATTCCTGGCTTGCCTTACTTGGGTAGGAAAGAGCCCTGGCCTGGGGCTACTTGGGAGATCAATAAATCCATTGTTATGGAGTCAGTTCTGATTCATAGTGACCCAAAACAATAGGATAGAACTATTCTATGGTATTTTCAATTACTTCATATGTATGCAAAGCTGGACAATGAACAAGGAAGACCAAAGGAGTGATGCATTTGAATTATGGTGTTGGCTAAGAACATGGAATCTACCAGGGATCCCATGGGCTGCCAGAAGAATGAGCAAATCTGTGTTGGAAGAAGTACAGTCAGAATGTTTCTTAGAAGCCAGGACGGTGAGACTTCGGACATATTATCAGGAAGAGGACATCATGCTTGATAAAGTGGGTGTCAGTGAATAAAAAGAAGACCCTCAATGAGCTGGATTGACACAGTGGTTGAAGCAATGGGTTCAAACACAGCAATGACTGTGAGGCTGGGGCAGGAGCAAGCAACGTTTCCTTCTGTTGTACAGAGGCTCTGTATGAGTCACAACCGACTTGATGGCCTCTAACAACAACAGAACTGGCCCTTGGAGTTTCCTGGGCTGTGGCGCAGTAGGTTAAGCATGGAACTGCTAACTGAAAAGTTGGCAGTTACCCCTTGGAGAGAAAAATGAGGCTCTGTAAAGTTTACAGCCTTGGTAACTCTATGAAATAGTTCTACTCTGACCTTTAGAGTCACCACAAGTTGGAACTGACTTCATGGCAGTGGCTTTAAAAAAACATATCTTTATGGAAGCAGACTGTCATAGACTTCTCCCATAGAGTGGTTAGTGGGTTCAAACCGCCAATCTTTTGGTTAGCAGCTAAGCATTTAACCACTACATCATGAGAGCTCTTTACTGGGGAGATGTTGTTGTTAAGTGCTGTCGAGTTGGTTCTGATTCATAGCAACCCTGTATAAGGTTTTCAAGGAGCAGCTGGTGGGTTTGTACCACCAACCTTGCAGTTATCGGTTCAGTACTTATCCTACAGCACCACACCAAGACTCCACTTGGGAGATAGGGTCCCTTAATCTCACTAAGGATCAGTCTCCTCAACTGAAAAATAGGGCCAATACCACCTGCCCTGATTTTTCCCCTGGGATGCTTTAAGACTAAAGGGGCTATTGTATATGTACAAGTGCTTTTAAAGTAGTTAAGTGTTTTGCAGATGTAGGGCACCCCACTGATGATGATGGCGATGATGATGATGATGATAAACTAGCCCTCCTAGAGACTTCTCACTTCCCATTTCTGCTCTCTTGCCCAGGATCGCCATCTTGAATCCTGTCAATTCTGTGGCTGTGATCCCCTCCCTGTCCCAAGGAAGTTCCAAGAGGAGCAATTGGGGAAGAGGCTTTGAGCTCTGGGGTTGAGGATTCCTGGGGGGTGCAGAGTGGTAAGCAATTCTCACCATTGATGGTGACTGACTTCAGCTGCCCGTCCTCCTCCACTTCGACCCGTTCCTGCCCGTTCTCCATGATTCTGTGGGAAATGGCACAGTTCCTTTACTGAACCCTGCACTTGACAGGCACTGACCAAGACTCTGGGTGATACAGTGGACAGGACAGGTTGGACTCTGCCCTCAAGGAGCTTATCTTCCTGTTGTAGATTAGCTGCCCTCAGAACCCTCTACCCTACAGTCCCAGCAGGCCCTCTCACCTGCGTGTGGTGACACGGCGTCCTTGGACCAAGGCGGTGGATGTAGAAACAGAGCGGAAAGCACCGGCACCAGGACTGAAGGAGAAAGATGAGGAGAAATCTGGCATCGGGACAGAAGGAGAGAAAGAGAGGTGGTTAGACCATCCTCCAATCACAAAGGACCAAAACACTCAGGGGACTCCAGATACACAGGTGAGAAGTCTTGCAAAAGTAACTGGCTACTGAGGCCAGGGGTTCCGGGAGCCAGAACTTGCCAAAATGGGGAGAAGCAGCACTTACCCGAACGGCCAGGGAAGGCAGTAGAGAAAGTAAAGAAGGAGCCAGAGTGTCGGGAACTCCGGCTCTGAAGCTCCGAGAAGGGGCTCAGGTCGTCTGCAACAAGTAGATGTAGCAGAATACAGTCAGGTGGTAAACGGTGCCCACCCCCCACCCCCAAAAAAATATAAACTCTGCTATTAAATCCAGAAACATACGCTGCCAAACAACTGGGTATATTGCTATTTTTGCCCCCCTTTTCCCCTTTAGTTTATTTATAAACTCAATTCTTTTTTAAAACTGTTTATGGAAAGCTAGAATACCAATACAATGCAGAATACCAAGGAAGGGAAAACAGCAAGCTCCTTAAGACAGACAGATAGAATAAAAACACCAGACAGACAGATAGACAAGCATGCTATGACATCAGGTAGGCACAACTTGGAGTCCCAATTCTGCCATATGCTGTGTGACTCTAAGCAAGTTACCTGAGTCTGTTTGCTCATCAGTAAACAGGGACAAAATGAGCTACTTCCCACAGTTCATTAGAGGATCAAAGGATATAAAATACTTGACACACATTAATCATTCCAGAAACTGGTATCTGTTGTTGTTTGCACACTTATTATTGCTGTCCCAGAATGCTTTGAGTCTTGCTTTCATGGCTATCATTGTAGAGGGCGAACAGTGTATCACTGTTATTACAATGAATAAGGTGGGTCTCTGACTATAGGGTCACGTGGGTCCTGACGTGTAACATTCTGTCCTATTGCTCACTGGACCAATCCCACCAACAAAGAGGGTAGCGGGTCAGCAAACACCAGGAGGTGGAAGACACGATAGTCACATCAGTGGATTCAAACACACCAACAATCATGAACACAGCACAGAGCTGGGCAGCACTGTGTTCTGTCATATATCAGGTCATCATGAGTCCCAGCTGACTGAGGGCAAGGAGCTCAGCCTCCTGTCTAAGGGCCTTCAGGCTGAGGGACAAGGAAGCCTGGAGGGAGAAGGCAGCCAAGCAGGTGTTCCCTATATCCACTCACCAAAGAGCTCCGCAAAGGGATCTCCACTCCCAAAGAACTCCCGGAAGACTTCCTCAGGGCTGCGGAAGGTGAAGGTGAAGCCAGGCCCACTACCACCGGTGTCCGCCCGAGATGGGCCAGTTCCTTGTTGAAGGAGAGACAGAGTGTATGTGTGTGGGGCAGGGGAAGCAGGTGCATCTTGTTCTGTGCCAGACGACCAAACTCTCTGTGAGGCCAGATGCCTCAGAGAGCAGCCTTTGCAAGTATTTGTCTCCCCTTCAGCACTTCCACCCGTGGGCCCCAACATTCCACCTACCTGCCCCCGTCAGCCCCTCGCGGCCATAGCGGTCATAGATCTCGCGCTTATGCTCTGAAAAGAGAAACCAGGCCATTGCTCCCTCTATCTGGGCTGATGATCTTGTTGCACCCTCACCGCCTCTCCCAGGTTAGGCTGCTCAGAGAACTGCTCAGACTGAGATGGGGGTGGGGGGTGTAGGGACTCAGCAGGGTGGACAGCAGACACAGGCTATAGATTTTAGGTGCAGCTGAGCCCTTCATAAAAAAAACCTAGTTGTATAATGGTTAAGCACTCAAATGCTAACTGAAAGGTTGGTGGCTTGAACCCACTGGCAGTTCTGTGGGAGAAGGATGCAACTGTCTGCTTCCACAAAGATGTGCAACCTCAGAAACCTTATGGGGCAGTTCGCCATCCTATAGGGTTGCTTTGGGTCGGAGGAATTGGCTTGACAGAGATGGGTCAAGGTTTTCAGTGAACTCTTTACACAGCTCTCTACACGATGGGCATGAAAACAGCACCTACCTCATAGAGTTGTAAAGATTAAATGAGCTGGCCCACATCCACTGCTTAGCATAGTGGCTGGTACACAGGAAGTATTCAATAATTAGCAGCTAACTGAGCTGGGCTGCAAATCACAGGTCAGCAGTTCAAGCCTACCAGGTGCTCCTCAGAAACCCTCTACAGGGTTGCCAAGAGTAGGAACTGCCTCAATGGTGCTTAGCAACAACTTTTATGTTACTGTTAGTCAAGGCTCAGCCTAAATGCCACCTTCTCAGAGGCCTTCTGTGACAATCCTAACAAAAATATTGTTGTTGTCATTAAGTGCTGTCGAGTTGCTTCCGCCTCATAGCAATCCAGTATATGGTTTCCAAGGAGCAACTGCTGAGTTTGAACTGCTGACCTTGTGGTTCAAACCAACATTGCAGTCCTGTGCATATCCTACAGCGTTACCCTCCTTCAGAATACTCTTCACAGTCTGTAATCTTGTCTTTGTATTTACCTGGTTATCTGTCTTCCCTGGATAGAAGGGCAAAGACAGTGTCTGCTTGTCCTCCACTGTCACGTCAGTACCCATCACAGTAAGCATTTTATGAATATTTTTTGAATGAACGCAAGGCAGACCTGGATTCATATTCCAGCTCTGTGTGGCCTTGAGCAAGTTACTTCGCCTCTCTCAGCCATAGTTTCCTTGCCTGTAAAATGAGAGTGATAAGCCTGCTATGAAGAATAGCTATGAAGAGTCCTAGAGGTTACATGGCAAAGCACCCCCCAGTGCCTGGCATGGCACAGGTTCACTTCACATCAGCTGCCTGTCCAGCTTCCTTCCTCTTCTAGCACCCAGGGGAGAGCTAGGAACAAACCCTGAACACGGTGGGTCAGGGGTGGAATAAAAAGGTGCTTTGTACATACACAACAGCTACAAGACCTGTTGCTATTGAGTCCACTGTGACTCAGAGTATCACTGCAGGACACAGTAGAACTGCCCCATAGGGTTTCCCAGACTGTACGTCTTTATGGAAGCAGACTGCCACATCTTTCTCCTGTGGAAGAGCTGCTGGGTTTGAACCTTTTCGTTAACACTTAACTACAAGGTTCCTGACTTCACACATGTTGTTAAGTGCCGTCCAGTCAATCCCAACTCAGAACAACCCTGTATAGGGTTTCCAAGGCTGTAAATCTTTGTGTGAGAAAGAAATCCTCATCTTTCTCCCATAAAGCAGCTGGTGGGCTCAAACTGCTGACCTGTGTTTAGCAATCCAATGCTTATCCTACAGAGTCACAGTGCTCCCCGACGTTGCACATTGTTGGTGCTTATTTGAAATGAAGCAAAAGCAAAAAAAAAAAAAAATCCAGAAGTCCTCATGGAAGCAGGGTACCTAGAAGGCCAGGTTGGAAAAGGCATAGAGGAGACGACTGGGGTAGGGAGGCGTGGCTTTAGGAAAGAGTAAGATGAGACCTGAATGGGGGGGGGGGGGTGATGTGCTGGGTTCAGCTTTAACCCCCTCTCCACCCTTACTGTCAGACAGCACTTCATAGGCCTCTGCCACCTCCTTAAACTTCCTCTCAGCAAACTCTTTATTATCAGGGTTCTTGTCTGGATGCCATTGTAGAGCTTTCCGCCGGTACCTGCAGGGAGTCAGAGGGGATATGAAGCATTTCCCACTAACCACTAACCTGTCATTGCCCTGTCACCACACAGCACCACCCCCAGCCCCCCATCCGCCCCATCCAGCCTGCAAGGCTGTCTCGGTTGCCAGGTCTGGGCTCCACTCCGTGGCCAGTGCTGAGAATACCTGCATTAGCTGATGACAATTGGAGACAGCGACAGCTGTAGCTCTAACCCCTCCCTAGACTCAAGGGGCTGCAAAGCCTCAGGTTGAGGATACATGCAGCCATGAGGACAGGGGCACTGGTCCCTTCTAGTCACCCAGCTTGGCCATCTTTGCCCAGCAACCTGATTCAGCCCATCTAGGGTTGCGGGTGGGAAAAGAGGGAGGGGAAGGAAAAGGTATGGGAGAAGGACCACAGTAGCGCTCCTATTCCTCCTCCTCCATTTCACTCTCCAAGGGGCTCTTAATAATAACAACAGGGGTTCTTAATACTCTCTAAAGAGCTGATTCCCTTTTCACTGCCTCTGAAGCGCCCCATGATGGAAGTGTGGTGAGAGGTTTTTGATGTGCATCGGCCGCACTTACGCCTTCTTGATGTCATCAGGGGACGCACTTCGCGGCACGTCAAGGATCTCGTAGTAGGATGCCATGGCAACTCGTCAAAAGTCAGGTGGGCCTCCTTTAGGACTGCGGGAGAGAAGGAGTCAGGCAGAAAGAACCTAGAGCTCGTCCCCAGGGTTGGAAATCCCCTGGGGGTGTCGGGGGACATTCCGAGTTGGAGGAGAGCCCACAGGGCTGTTTGCTGCCAGTGACTAGGCTCTCTTCCTTAGTCTTATCGGTCCCCACAGGCAGGGGCCGCGGGCTATCTCAGTACCCAGGTGTAGAGAGTCCTTTGGGAACCCCAGGAGTCGAGCAGCCCGGCTCAGGGCCCCCAGCCCGAGCTGGCCCCCGCCCGCACCTCCTCCTGCAGCGACCCGCCCCTGCTCCAACCGGGAACCGTCTGGCACGAGCCCCCGCCTCGCGCGGCAACTGCGTAGGACGCACCGGGTCCAGCTTTGCGTGCAAGGTTGCGTCAGCGGCAAGGAAACTACTAGAGACAAGAGAGGCCGGCTCAGCTTGTCACCCCGGGAAGGGGCGGGAGGCGGGGGGAGGTGGGGGGGGCGGGCGGAGCGGCAATTGCAAGGGCTGCCGGGAGAGGGGCGGGACGGAGCCGGCTATTTGGGGCGGATGACGTCACCCCGGGTGGATCTGGGGGAGCACAGCCAGCTCCGTCCGTGACGCACTCTCAAAAACGCAGAGGCAAGGACAGTCCGCAAAGTTGCCTGCGGGTCCCTGATCCCTTTGGGGCTTTCCTGTAAGCACTCTCTAAAATTGATGCTTCCTCACCCTAGAGGAAATCAGCACCTCAAGGACTCACAGGCCTTCACCTAGATTTAACTCCGCCCCTTCTAAAGATCCCTCTCCCCTCTCCAGGACCTCAATAGGCGGCCCTGACTAACTTAACTCTGCCTTTTAAAGCTTCTCAAGGCGTCTCCTTCACTACACTTGTCAGAGCTACAATTGTTGTTGTGAAGTGCCATCGAGGCAGTTCCAACTCATAGCGACCCTGTACAGGGTTTCCGAGGAGTGGCTGGTAAGCTTGAACCACAGACCTTACAGATTAAACCGATTTTGCAGTCCAACTTATTAACAACCCACAGGGCCACACCAGTACTCCATTGTTGTTGCTGTTGTTCAGTGCCCTTGAGTCGATTCCGACTGATGGCGAGCCTGTATAGGGTTTCCAAGGAGCGGCTGCTGAGCTTGAACCACCGACCCTGCAGTTCAAAGGACTTTGCAGTCAGTTGCATTATCACACAGCACCACACCAGGACTCCATTGGTAGCATTTATTTATTTGATTAATTAATATCCGTCTTTTAGGAGCTCTGGTGGCATAGTGGTTACGAATCAGGCTGCTGACCTCAGGGTCAGCAGTTCAAAACTACCAGCTGTTTCACTGGAGAAAGATGAGGCTTTCTGCTCCCGGAAAGATTTACAGCCTTGGAAACCCTGTACAGGGGCGCTATGAGTCTGAACCGACTCCACGGCACATAACAACAACATCCCAGGTATGACTTCGTAGGGTTAGCACTGGACTGCTAACAGCAAGATTGGCAGTTCAAACCCACCAGACGCTCCTTGCAAATCCTGTACAGGTCGAACCAATGAATGGTGCTTTGCAACAACAACAACCCCACTAAGATGTCTACTCCGCAGGGCGGGGCTGTCTCTATTTTTCCACACTATTTTG